AACTCCACAGTTGATTCAAGGTGGCTCCCTGCAAGGAACCCAAAGTAAGATACATGAGTTATTTAAAAATCAACACCAAGAATAATATAAATTTTAAAATGTTAAGACTGTGGTAAAGCTAGAACATTACGAGGCAAAGTGGAATACGTGAAACATTTGCAGAAATGGAGTGTTTCAAAAATATATTTATGTATGTCTGTTATTATTTTATATATGTAATGTATTTCATTTATGTATATTTATATTTATAGATTTAAAAATATTTAGGGGAGGCCAATTCAATTAGCTCAGTAGATTAGAGCACAGTGCACATAACACCAGGGTTGCTGGTTAGATCCCCACATGCGCCACTGAGCTGCACCCTCCACAGCTAGATTGAAAAAAATGAGTTGACCTGGAGCTGATGGGTCCTGGAAAAATGCACTGTTCCCCAATAAAATTTATTTTTAAAAAAATTTTTAAAAATTGTATATACAAATACATATCATTTATCTAAATCACACACACACATATATATATACAGAGAGAGAGAGAGAGAGAGAGAGAGAGAGAGAGATTGATTTAGTTTAAGGAACTGGCTCAAGTGATGGTAGAAGCTGAAAACCTGTAGGGCAGGTAGGACACCAACTGGAAACCCAGAGAAGAGTTGGTGCTGAAGTTCACGCCTGAAGGCAGTCTGCAGTCACAGTTCCCTCCTCCTTGGGGGTGGTCAGGGGTTTTTTTTCTATTTAGGACTTTATTCTATTTAGGACTACCCACCCACATTATGGGAGGGTAATCTGCTTTACTCAATGTCTATTGATTTAAATATGAATCTCACCCAAAAAATACCTTCACAGAAACATCTAGAATGTTCTATGATGTTTCATCTGGGTGCCGTGGGCTAGCTAAGATGACTCGGAAAATGAACCTGCACATGAGGCCATAGCCCACGTGGCCAGTCCCCGTTCCTACTTCATTCTGCCTAAGAAGGGAGACACTGGGGTGTCATGTGGGTTGTGGTTCAGATTCCACATGGAGACAGGACCAAAGTGAATTAACCTAAGATTTTCAAAGATGAACTCAAAATCTACAAAGTCAGCAAGTGAATGTAAAAACCTCAGGAACCCAAGGAGAGTCTACATTTGTCCCCAGAAATGGCCTCACTGTGCGCTGCTGAAGAGAGAGGGTCCCTCCTGGGCCCCAAGGCAGAGGGGCTGCTGGGCTGCTGCCCTAAACAGAGTTGTCCCTTCCACCTGCAGGTCCCACAGCCTGACAGCCAACCTCAGTGATCTCACCTGAACTGGGAGTTTGGTTTTCTGCTCTTGGTTCTATTTCAGCATTTGTGTGGGCTTCAAAGTGTGACACCCAAGTTT